GAGTTGATTTCTGCCATTACCGAGGTCTTACTTAACCGATAAAATGAATATCCTGGCAGAAATCAAGAGGTAGCCTAGTTTAGCTTTAGTGTGCTTTCAACATTTGGTTCTGGTTTCGCTTTTTATGTTGTGATAGTGTACTAATTTTTGAACAACGATATCTAGCTGGTCCTGTTTAATTGGCTATGATTATCCTATTCTATACTATTCTGGTTTACATCATTAATAAATGCACCCGGAATTTCGGCTTACCGACAAACCAATTGCCTAAGGAACTTTGGCTCAGGAGACCAGCTTGATAACTGTTCTACTAAATTCACTGTTTCCTCCTACTAGATTTGTTAATCTTTCATATCCCAAATTTGGGTATATAGTTAACAGAATGGATATGTGTAATTTTGCCTACTGACCTCTGCGTAGATTAGTCCAAGACTGTCCTCACGTTTTCTAGTTTTAGTTGAAAGAAGTTCTATTCGTCATCGATGACGATAGTCTAAATACCTTTGGTAATCCAACATATTAACCTCTTTAAGATTCTATACATCAATTGCCACATCCATTGTAGTTAATAATAAAATCTAGTTAAGGTCTGTTGTTTGCTTGGGCTGCTTTTGGCAACCTATTTTGGTGTTCACCTTGCCACCACATTAAGGTCAATGGTTAGCTAGCAAAGAAATAACGTTCGAATTTTCTTTGTTATTTCGATAAGGATTACACATTTATAGCAAAATAATACTATAATTAGACAATTACAAACAATAAAATTAATTAATATTGTAACACGTACGTTAATAATTTAAGCCCGAACAATGTTGCGTCACAAATTATTTAAGGGGAAAGGCTCGGAAGGCACACTCGCTTCGTTGCGGAAAATTAACGAGGGCTATGTCGTCCGGTAATATCGATAATCGCAATTTAACTAATTACGAGAGAGACAGGTTAAACAGAATAAACTCATCAGTTCAGCTATTTTACACTTTATTACAATAATAACGTACATACAGCGTTCGACGTGTGCGTCGGCCGAGTCCGGGCTAAGTTCGTTCCGTGCGAATTAACGCACAGGAGACAGAACATCACCTTACAACTTGTCCCGCGAATTCCGCGAGGGCGATGCGAGTTCAAGCATGCAACCGCTCATCCGCGTCCGGCCTATACGATGCTTGGAGAGAGAGAAATCGAGGCACGCACCGAAAAACAAAAAGGGTACCTGACCTTGGGATGGAGCGCTGCTACAGAAGTCCGCGTCTTCTGGGCCAACGATGTCGTCCTTGAAAGGCGGGTCTCTGGATGGATGCAGATGGTCCTGTCCTCCTTTTCTATTCCGTTCACTCAATATGCTTATCGCACACACTTCTCGGTCGCGAGGCTCAACTCTCCAAATTAATTGCTGGTCGAAGCCGCACTGACTGCGATCTCGCGTCTTCCGCGACGTCTTACTCGCCCCCTCCCTATAGGTACTCAAAAACGGCCGAGCGCCGCCGGCTACGCACACATGTGGGACTCATGCCGGCGACACTACTTCTCTCTCTCCTCCTCTGCTCTCCGCTCTTGCCCTATGCCTCCAACGCCAGGCATCTCCGCCGATCAGGAATCAAACCTGCAACAAAGCCACATCGTGCGTCGATACTCGGTTTTAATCAACCAAGACCGATGTGGCAGCGGCTCAGGGGAAGGCACGTGGAAGAGAGAGAGAGGCGGATAGGGCGATCGAACTCAACGATCGATTCGCCCGTCACAATATATACTAACCATCAGTAGATATTACAAAAAACAGCAAAAAAGAATTAAAAAACCACTACCGAAATATTATTTGCATTCCTTACAGAACAACAAGTAATAGAACTGTTTATACATGATCTATGTAGCATGTAGAATTGCTAGATATCTGATACACGTTAAGTTGCCGGGGTTGAATCACGATCAACTATAAAAAATTGTGTATTGTCTTGCACAATGTACCATACCTATTTTCCCTTTTCCTATCATACTTCTCAAAATCTGTTTTGACTTAAATACCTATAAAATCCTGGTTGCAGTTCATCGCCGTAGCTAGACATAAGGACCCTGGATTGACATGTTATCGATTCACGTTATAATATGTCTGTTAGTATATTTATTTATATTTCTACACATATTTTAGGAAGATTAGTGGTTTGGGATGATTTTGAATGCAAGTCATCTATTTGAATCTAATCATAACTTTTACACTCAGAAATAACGCTGAGACCAACACGCCTGCTACCAATATTTAGTAAAATTTTGAGGAAACATCTTTGCACACTATTGACATTTTCATCATCGGACACATCACTTGTTTTTTCTTTTCAATCGGGCTCATTTTGGAACAGTGAATGACTGTCTTGATGGGCTGACTTTGCCATTTTCACTACTTCCGTAGCCATATTGGAATTTGGTTAGTGTCATTAGTCGGGGTGATCAACCCAGAGTCAGTGGTGCCTCATTTGTTAACGTGCAGCATGTAAAAGCGTAAAATACTATTGAGAACAACATAACAACACAATCTTGTGCGATTAACTATTATTAAATTGATGTAGTATTTTCTGCATCTCATACTACTCACGCTCCTCATAACCACTCCATTTTTTTATTCGAATTGTTCGAGCAAAAACTTAATTACATAGTTACCAATCAAGTTCTATAGTGCTACATGGTGTACTATGGTGTACTAGAGGTCGTAGCTATGGAACTCACTATCTAACCATCTTTCACATAATTTTGGCGCATTTTAAAAATTTTATGTATCTCACTTTTATATTTCAACAACATTTTATTTTACTTTATAATATTTCTGCATATAACTAATTTTTCAATTTAATTTAGCTACAGTCGTGCAATTTTGTTAATTAGCTATGTTAGATATAGCTAATATATTTTTAGCGATGAGTTGTATGCAAATTTATTATTTCAAGCGCCTTTAATAGTCGCAACGTGCTATGCTTTCACTAATGTGATTATAATTCTCAGAAAGAATAGATCTGTCCAGTGCATTGCTTGTAAAAAATTATATCATACTGCGTGAGCTCAACTGCGCTCATAGTCTCAGGTATCTTTAGTTGTTGCGAGTTCTCACAGTCATTACTGTTGTCAAACTGCTTGCAAACATCTCATCTAGCAAACAGAAATAAGCTACGTCATCTCAATTACGGACCTTACGAATAACTAAACAGCACTGCCATTCGAACATTATCACCAATACCTTGATACCATCTTCTGAAAAGTCTGCGAATATTTAATACTCTACGCTGCTCCGGCTTATTTCCAGGAGTTCATATAACTTTATTGCAATAATTAATAATATTTGAGAAATGGTATTGATCGCATTCAAACTAATCAAGTCACTGAGGCTACCTCGAACCAATTACGTTATTAACAAATGACTGCGAACTACAAGTGTATGGTGTTTCTTGTCAATACGGCGACATCAACTATGATGCTGCGTAGACTGTTCTTAGTTTTCTTGAGCCTGGTATTGGCTGTAATAAACGAATCATTCATTTCACTCGCTGGTGGGATTTTGCTACTGGTAAGGCGAACGTACACCTAAACAAACATTTCAAAATTGCATTTTTCGAAAAAATTGTTTCAATAAGAGTTGTAGGGATTAATCCAGGAAAATAATTGATGTTCTTAACTTTGAGTCGAAGGTTATTTTTGAAGGTAATTTTAAGTTCAATTTTTTTGTGAATGGAAACCCCTATTTTTTCTTATGTAAATGAAACAAGCTAGAACCTTAAAGGCCACTTTAAGATTATAATTGAGCTGCACAGTTCTAAAAAAGTAAAAAATAAAACAACAATCAAATTTATTTTTAGCTCTAATTGTAACTTTGAGCTCGATGTAATATTTCTAAACCAAAATGTTCCACAAAAGTAAAAAATAAAAATAAATGAAGCACCAAATCCTACAACTATTGTTTGCATAATTTTCTCGGAAAATCGATTCTGGAAAGTTTCTTCAGGTGTATAGTTCATTTGGTATAATAATCAGTTATGACCTTCAAATGACCCTCAGTGTCTACTTTAATCCTAGGTCAAGTATATATGTGAAAATAAAATTTCTCGCAATAAAAAATAAAAGTTTCCATTTAAGAAAAAACTTGATATTAAAATGATCGTCCAAAATGACTTTGAGATCAAAGTTAAGATCAAAGTTGAGATATAGTGAGAAACCTATGAGTTGTGAGAAAAACCTTTCAGGTTGAACTTATTCCTATTTTATCAGCATCTCAGTTATATTGAGGGCCGTTTAGTTGACAACATCAAAGACTTATATCAATGAATGAGCCTATTAGTGTTTTTTATAATTCAAGCTTTACTAATGTTTCTAGTAACACTAATGGCACTAATACACTTGACTTGGTCGAGAATCTGATTAGTCAAGTTATCACAATATAGGTTCGCTAAGCGTTGGTCATATAAATATAAATAGGATTGATTCGTTTGCTCACTTTGCAGTCCTACAACTACGGTTGAATGAGGAATATTTTGATATTACTGCTGTAAAACAATCCCCGAACTTATTAAATTTAATAAGTGTTACTTTATCGATTTGATACCTCTAAGGTGTTTTCCAAGTTAAGGTTAAGAAAATTTTGTTATTGTTATTATTGCAAGAACAACGTTCATTTAAGTATTACAAATATGCGAGGCTACTTTTTGCAATAATTCACATATATTATTACAAAAAATAAATTTTTTAATGAAAAACATACTTAAATCACAAAAATCTATAGATTTGAGATGGATATCACGTATATAATACGTCTAATAATACGTCAATTTAGTAGCAAACGCTGACTGCACATGGAATCACTATAAGAAGTAGTCCTTTAAATTTATTTGACTATAAAATTTACGTGTAATAGTTCTAAATATATATTATAAATATATTGGTAGAAAGTATAATGCATATCAAATTTACTTAAAAATTTAATTTTTTTTCATGATATTGTTAATAATACTGTGTATTGTACATACCTCATGAAAATTAGCTAGTTTTGTTGGAGTCAATTCTCTGATGCTTAAGACGTAAGTCTTTTTGTTCACTGTTCTCAAAATTGATTTCAACATCGCGGTAATTTGCAAAGTTAAAGTAACACTTAAAGAACCAATCACAATGCCAAATGTAATTGCATCTTTTATCTTTTCAATTAAGAAATTTCGCTTCCTTAACCTAATCGATTCATGAGACATGTAGTTGCAAAATTTGAAATTGTCAAAATAACTCCAATTGGCCACTGAAACACTCAAAGCTAATGTCATTAACACTTCATCATTTGGTCCCAAAAATATGGCGTGATAACTAGTGCATGAAGTATTTTCTGGTAAATGATAACATCTTCCAAGTATTTTAGTATTGTAATAACCAGGAGATGCTGTTGTAAATTTCACATTTGAAATACAATCTAATTTGGTTACAATTAAATAATTATAATCTTTTGATAGTCTTGAATAAATATCTTCTGTAATGAATAATTTAATAATAACACATATATTCGAAATTATTTGGTTATATATAATAATTTTTATGTAATATGAATTTTGAATTGTATTTTCAGTTGCTGATTTTAATTATAATTCTATAATATATAAATAAATAGTAATAACTCTAATAATAATTTATCACGTTAGTAATTACAAAACTTTAACTCAGTTTGATCGAATGCGAATGTAACTCAATCTTATATCAAATAGAAATGACATTATCTTTCACTAACCCAACCATTTTTCTTGAAATATATTATGATATAGTACGTTAGGATTAGGGAGGTACCATAAGTCTCGATTAATATATAGACATATGTAAATTATTGGCAAAAAATATTCATGTACAGAAGGATTTTAAGAAAGGTCCGACTAGTTTGGATAAACTAAATTTTGCCGACGCTAAATTGATCGCAGAGATCAAGAGTTGGACTCTCCTCTTGAGTAGCTAATGTCATTACATAAATGCACGTTTAAGATAATTTCAATAATGACAATTTAGCATTACATTTCTTTTTTTTTCGTCATCATGACATCGCGCAGTTCGCAGCCGCCCGACTCTTCTCTGCAGACTATAAAAAATGTCATCCGTTCACAATAGTTGGTGCAGTGGTTTGCATAATGTGTAAAAACTTCTATCACGCTAGTGAATTAGTGCCCAAATACAATGCAGGAAGCCTCATCAAATTCATGAACAATTCATTTGTGATCTGCCAAGACCATGCTAACCTAGCGCTCACCTCAAATCTATCATATCGTAGAATCGTAGAAGAAAGCAAGACAACTGATAGCTCAACTCAAACTTGTAAGTAGAGAGCAGATAAAACAGGAAATATTAAATGAAAAAATACACAAAAAACATACAGAAAATGACATAGTCATAAAAACGACAACATATGAAAATTTCGAAGAACTGCAAGCCTTTAAAATTGAAAACAATTTATTAAAAAAACTATATAATGAAACAAAAGAAAAAAAACCAATAAGTGAATTATTGTTGATAGAAAGAATAAAATTACGAAACCATTCAAAAATTCATATGCTAAGATTCCCAAACCTACTGCAAAAAGAGTACCAAGATTAATAGTTAAAAAAATAAGTAATAACTACAATACTTATCTTGAAAACGTTATAGCCGATTATTTGATCAAGGATAAAACTCTGCAAACTAATAAATTACATATAAATAAAAATAAAGATACAGTTATAATAAATTGCATGAATAAAGACAACGTAAACACAATTGAAAAACCACTAACTAAAAAACTATCAAATAATATTAAAATTGAAAAAGAACAAATTAGAAAACCAATAGTTAAGATTACGGAAATTTATTAAGCTTTCACAACAAATGAAAAAGATATTGAAACAGACATTAATCAAAGAAATTTTAGCAACTATGATAATAATAAATTTAAAGTTTCACATGTCTTCTCAAGTGATAGACTAAACATAAATAGTGTATTAATTGAGGTAACATCTAATTTATACAAACATATTAAAAATAACGAAAACAGAAAATTCATTGGATGCCAAAAAAGTATTTGACGTCATTAACACGTACCGTGCCGCAATAAATGCAAAAATGAAGCCACGTGCATCAAATACGCTGACAATCATACAGTTGACAAATGCAATAGTAACACCACTAAATGCCCAAATTGCTCATACCACAATGAAAAATACAATACAAAATATAACGTGAATCACACAACAAACGATAATTTACTGTATGAAGTACTTAAAAACCAATTAAAAAAATACATCGAATTGACTGACTACTCGGTCCAACTTAATTACCAGCGCTTCTTTGATATAATAGAGCACACGATCAGTAGGGTGGTCGTTAATTTTTTTTTTTTTCGAATCCACTTTCGGGCCGGGTGAATTTGTACTCTATACCCCTCAAAACTCGTGCGCAAATAGGTTTTAATTTTTTAAAATTGATTTAACACGTGCCTCAAAGCACCTCAAGTTTCCCATGTATTTTAAATGGGAAAAACATGTAAAAACGGTTTTCCCTCTAAAACCCAATCAAAATCTCGAAAATTCAATTTAAAAAACATATTTTCTTGTGTATTTTGAGACGCTGAATCGAATGGTGCAATTAGTTTTTGCCTAAATTGCGTCAAAAAAAAATTATAAGCCAAAAACTTCGAAAAAATCGAAAAATAAGCTAAAAACGGCAATCGACTGACTTGTAAACGTCATTACCGATCAATTTCGTTTTTAAAAATACATATTTTCTCATGTATTTTGAGACGCTGAATCGAATAGTGCAATTAGTTTTTGCCTAAATTGCGTCAAAAAAAAAAAATTAAAAGCCAAAAACGTCGAAAAAATCGAAAAATAAGCAAAAATCGGCGATGAACTGACTTCTAAACTTCGTCACCAATCGATTTCGTTTTCACAGGAGGGTATTTTAATGTATTTTGACTTGCTGAATCGAATGGTTCGATTAGTTTTTGTCTAAATAATGATTAAATGAAGTAGAGAGTGAAAATCGTCGAAAAAAAACATGAAAAATCAATGCAATTGACCGACATATGTACTTGTAATGTTTGAGATCAACTAAAAATATGAAATTTTTTCAATAAGTCCAAAAAACTGATGTATCAAATACTTTTAGGTCATATTAATTTATTCAAAAACGGCTAAAACAATTTAAATAATACAATAATTTTTATGAATAGTACAGACAACCACGTTACTGTAATTATAAGATTATCGTATCTGTTTAATTTATTTCCTGAATAATGAAAAGTAAAGCCATTTTAAATGTGGGTATTGTAGCATATTACCGGAAGCGCATGCGCGAACTGACTGCATTGGAGACCCACCGCCACTTAGTAAAAACTGCATTGGATATCATGCTGTCAACCGTAAGACGTTGTATTTATATTTCTAATTGTAGAATACAATAGTTTCTTATTTTCGAGTACCTGATTTAGTTACAATTTTATTACAGATACGTTAGTTCCTAAGGAGAACTACGGATGCCATAATTAGTTTATCAGTTACTTAATAAAAGTCTTATTCAGTTGTCAATCTCCAAGAGCTGCCTTATAGGTTATAATGACTTCATAACGTAAACAAGAGAAGCTAAACTAAAATTAAAATGTGATGTGGTTTGTGTTTTCAAACAAAAAATAGAGTTACACAGTGTTATTGATAACAAGATACAACATGAAAACATTTATTTACATAGAATATTGTTAGCAATCTAGCAAAAAGTGATAATAGCTTCTTTAACATTTTAATTGGCAATTAAATTGAGGAGACTGATATTATTTGAAAAAAATCGATATATACAATCTATCTATATCTATATCTCCTTTATTGCAAATATAGACTGGTTTTTATGAAGCATCCTTGAAAAAACAACATGTATGGATTTTATCTACGAGTTTTATTTTTACAAAAAAAATGATGCCCTATACCAATCTAATAGAGAATATTCGTCATTCAGGTATGTATTCCATAATTTTTGTGTGTATAAGTTTATAAGACAAAAGTGTTTCACGATTTTTTTTAATGTGTGGGAAATAGATTTTTAAATGATTTTTTGAATCATTTAAAAATTTTGGGGTGAGAAATATTTTCTAATATTTAATTTACAAGTTGTACGCAATTTTCAGTGTGAATTAAATATTATTGTTATTAATAAATAAAATCAATTTGTTCTTTATTATTCAGTTATCTTGTTCTAAAGTACATGAACAACATTGCGCAAAGGCGAAGCTTTTATTTTCTCTCTTCCTATCAATATATTTTCAGTCGTTAGCTTGACAGGTTGTTTATTAAATAAAATAATATTAGAAGATATTTCGGTGTCTTTATACTTATTTAAAATCATACTCCAATACTTAACAAAGAAAATGAGACTCAGTAATATAATTTTTATATCAAATCATGACCATTGTGAACTCGCATTGAAAAATAATTAAAAAAGTAGCTGAATGCTCTTATAAAATATTATAAAAATTAATAAAAGTAAAGGGCTTAGTGACATTTTTTTTCACACAAAATATGTATTCACAACTCCAAGCATGTAAAATAATAAAGATAATTGAAAAATTTAATATTCTGGTACAAAGACACCTTAATGAACACAATTTCTGTAAATTATTATTTATTTCCACTAATAATTATTTCTATACTTTTTACAGGATTTACAGTATGATCAAAAAATACAAAGAAGTTTTCAGCAATCTGATTTAACTAGAGAATAAATATAATGCATAAATTAAAGAAACTGAATTCTTAAATTGCAAAGATATTTCATAAACAGTCTGTCAATTCTATGTTTTATTTTAGAAATCCTGGTTAACTAGTTAGACGAAAGTAAAGAGAATGAATCGTTGAGTCTTCAATCCACGGTCGATTATAAAATTTTAAATGCTATTTTTAATTCTTCATCTTTAAAATATATGGCTATTTGAATATCTTCAATTATGTCTTATTATTTACGTGAAAAGATCAAATACATTGGTTATTGCACAAATCAAATAGTGGCAACATATAATCTGCCATCTATACAACAAATGCTGGCTGTGTTATTTTACAATCTCCGAAGAGTATCAAAGACTCTACGCGAATCTGCTAAATTGGCTATTGAAGAATGTTGTATTATTTGGAAGAAAGCAAGAATACCAACACAAGAGGAAAAAAAATGTGTTTTAAAATTAGAAAATGAGTATGATAAGTGGAGAAAAATACAAAAGAATTCTTCTCGCAGCTCAATAACACAGCAGAACAGAGAACAAGAATATAAACAGAGTATAAGCAAATTATTTGATATTGCTCATGCAGATGCACTTGACTTAATGGAAGATGAATTTGACAAGCAATTTTTAAGGGATCAAAGGGGTGAGCTTAGTTTTTGAAAATTATAAACGATTCATTAGTACTATAATATAAATTGATCATTATTTAACTTTTCAAAATGACTCAGAATATTTGAAGTTATTTTTTAATA